CTTTTTCATTGTTTTATGTATTATGGTGATCCGTGATCTTTGATATTAATGCTGTCATTGTTTTGGGGTGCCCCAAGCCCCATAAATGTTGTATGTGTTCTGACTGCTCCCCTGACAAGCCATTCTCCAATTTCTCTCCCTCTCCTTGGACCTCTCTATTCCCTGAGACAAAACATATTGAAATTAGGCCAATTATTAATAATAACCCTACAATGGCCTCTAATTATTCAAGTGAAAGAAAGAGTCTCACATCTCTCACTTGAAATCAAAAGCTAGAAATAATCAAGCTTACTGAGGAAGGCATGTCGAAAGTCAAGACAGGCCAAAAGCTAGGCCTTTTGCACAAAATGGTTAGCTAGGTTGTGAATGCCAAGGAAAGGTTCTTAAAGGAAATTAAAAATGCTACTCCAGTGAACACATGAACGGTAAGAAAACAAACCCACCATATATGGAGAAAGTCTGAGTGGTCTGGACAGAAGATTAAACCAGCCACAACATTCCCTTCCTTAAGTTAAAACCTAATCCAGAGCAAGGTTCCAAATCTCTTCAGTTCTATGAAAGCTAAAAGAGGTGAGAAAGCTGGAGAAGAAAAGTTTGATGCTAGCAAAGGTTGGTTCATGAAATTTAAAGTAAGAAGTCATCTCCATAACAACAAAGTGCAGGGTGAAGCCGGAAGTGCTGATGTAAAAGCTGCAGCAGCTTATCCAGAAGACCTAGCTACGATAACTGATGAAGGGTGGCTACGCTAAACAGCAGATTGTCAAGAGACAAAACAGACTTTTATTGGAAGAAGATGCCATCTTCTTCATAGCTAGACTTTCACAGCTAGAGAGGGGAAGTCCATGCCTGGCTTCAAAACTTCAAAGGACAGTCTCATTCTCTTGTTAAGGACTAATGGTGACTTTAAGCTGAAGCCAGTGCCTCATTTACTACTCTGAAAATCTTGGGAGGCATCCTGAAAATTCATAGAATTACGCTAAATCTTCTCTTCCTATGCTGTATAAATGCAATAACAAAGCCTGGATGAAAGCACATCTGTTTGTGGCATAGTTTACTGAATATTTTAAGCCTACTGTTCAGACCTACTGCTCAGAAAAAAAAAAATCCTTTCCAAATAATATTGCTCATTGACAATGCACCTGGTCACCCAAGAGCCCTCACGGAGATGAACAAATAGATCAATGTTGTTTCATTGTTATGAACACAACATTGATTCTGCAGCCTGTGGAATAAGGAGTCATTTCAACTTTCAAGTCTTATTATTTAAGAAATACATTTTGTAAGGCTATAGCAGCTATAGATAATGATTCCTTCAATGGATCTAGGTCAACTGAAAACCTTTGGAAAGCGTTAACCATTCCAGATGGCATTAAGAACGTTCATAATTAATGGTAGGAGGTCAAAATATCAAACATTAGCAATAATTTTGAAGAAGTGGATTCCAACCCTCATGGATGACTTTGAGAGGTTCAAGATTTCTGTGAAGGAAGTAACTACAGATGTGGTAGCAATAGCAAGAGAACTAGAATTAGAAGCGAAGCCTGAAGATATGCTTGAATTACTGCAATCTCGTGATCCAACTTAAACAGATGAGGAGTTACTTCCTATGGATGAGCAAAGGAAGTGGTTTCTTGAGAAGAAATCTACTCCTGGTGAAGATGCTGTGAACATTGTTGAAATGACAAGAAAGGACATAGAATGTTACATAAACTAGTTGATAAAGCAGCAGTAATGTTTGAGAGGATTGATTCCAATGTTGGAAGTAATTCTACTATGGGTGAAATGCTGTCAAACAGCAACACATGCTACAGAGAAATCTTTCCTGGAAGAAAGAGTCCATCGATGTAGCAAACTTCACTGTTAAGCTATTTTAACTAAGATATTGCTACAGCCATCTTAACCTTCAGCAACCACCACCTGATAAATCAGCAGCCATTACCATAGAGGCAAGACCCTCCACCATCAAAAAGACTACAACTCACTGAAGGCTGATGATCATTAGCAATAAGGTATTTTTAATTAAGGTATGTACATTGTTTTTTAAGACACAATGCTAGTGCACATTTAATAGACTACATACAGTATAGTATAAACATAACTTTTATATGCACTAGGAAAGCAAAAAAATCATGTAACTAGCTTTACTGCAGAATGCAGTGGACTGGAACAGAATCCGCAATATCTTAAGGAATTACTAGGTTTCCAACAATTAAATTTCAACACGTCTTGATAGAAAAATTACAATAGTCATATAATTCTTGTATTATGTAGCTAAAAAGCAATGGGCTATTTAAATATATAGAATACCCATCTCTTTATAGCTACACGAGTTAATAATACAAGTTAGTCAGAACTTGCAGCCACTGACAGAGCACTTAGCTGGTGCCAAGCACTATTCCAAGCACTTTACTGGTTCCCTAAAACCTTATAACGTACTGTATTGTTATTATCCCCATTTCACAGACAAGAAAACCACCTTCTAGGGTCACATGACCTGTACCCAAGCTGTCCAACCTCCTGCAAAAATTTCCTCTCAAAATTCTAAGCCTTCCTACCATGTTCCTTGAAACTCTTGTTGTATTACAAACATATTTCCATGCCTAACTTCTTTACAACAGAATGTCTCTCTAACTTTTCATTTAACAATGAAGACTAGCCTGAGCATTTCTACCTCTGCTACCTTCCTCTTAAGCAAAGTTCCTCTTTTCCCACGCCCACATATCAGACTGGAAATGCCCTGGGTCACAAGGTGCACCCACTCATTCAAAAGTCCCTTCTCCAGGCCGGGCGCGGTGGCTCACGCCTGTAATCCCAGCACTTTGGGAGGCTGAGGCTAATGGATCACCAGAGGTCAGAGGTTTGAAACCAGCCTGGCCAACGTGGTGAAACCCCATGTCTACTAAAAATACAAAAATTAGCTGGGCATGGTGGTGTGCACCTGTAATCCCAGCTACTCGGAAGACAGAAGAAATGCTTGAACCCAGTAAGCAGAGGTTGCAGTGAGCCGAGATCACGCCATTGCACTCCAACCTGGGCAACAACAGTGAAACTCTACCACAAAAAAAACAAAAACAAAAACAAAAAACTCCCTTCTCTGACAAGAACTCCATTCTTTTTTTTTTTTTTTTGAGATGGAGTCTTGCTCTGTCGCCCTGGCTGGAGTGCAGTGATGCAATCGTGGCTCACTGCAAGTTCTGCCCACCGGGTTCACGCCATGCTCCTGCCTCAGCCTCCCGAGTAGCTGGGACTACAGGCGCCCGCCACCACATCCGGCTAATTTTTTGTAACTTCAGTAGAGACGGGATTTCACTGTGTCAGCCAGGATGGTCTTGATCTCCTGACCTCGTGATCCGTACGCCTCAGTCTCCCAAAGTGCTGGGGTTACAGGCGTGAGCCACTGCGCCTGGCCAACAACTCCATTGTTTATGCTGCCATATGCCCTCCTACAATCTTTGTGGGACAAATGAAATGTATAGAAAGCACCTCTGGAAAATTCACATACGTACAACCTTTTGCAAATAATCTGTTCCATGGCCTCCCTGGAACTCTTCTGAAGCTCTTACATTTACAGCCTCCACACAACCCATCTCCCATCTCTGCCCGGCAGTCTCTCAAAGTATGGTCCACAGGCCACCCATATCAGAACCACCTAGAAGGTGTGTTTAAAACCATTCTAAATTTAAACCATTCTAGAGGCTTATGGAATAAGGTGTCATTTCAACTTTCTCCACTGGAATTAACTTTAGAATGGACTCCCCAAGGACGGAGCCCAGGAAACTCCATTTTAAATACTCTCCCCAGGAGATTTTTATGGCTCATTAATATTTAGTGCCCATCTCTAAGTATATATGACCCTGATTGAGAACTTGTGTTCTAAAATACTCATTTCTATTCATTTCTGTCTCATCCCTTGGCCTCATTCTAGAAGACTTTAACATCAATACAGCAATCCACCTCACCTATGTATTAGCTTCCTTGGGGGTGGGGGGTATATTAGTGACCAGCTCCTCCTGTCCATGATAGCAACCCACTCCTGTTATTGTCACATTCTAGACCCAGAACAACCCCCTTATCAGCACTCCTAACACCAAGAGTGTACTCTGTCCAACCTATCCATCTCCCTCTCCCACCAAATCTGCTCTTGGGCCACAGCCAGACCCAATCCCATGACTTCTGCCTCCTCCCAACTAGCAAAGCCCACCTCCAGCTTCTGTTCTGGAGGTGCCCAGTACAGACAACAGTATGTCTCATGCCCTCTGAGATTGACTCCCCACAGACTTCAGAAATACCGACCCTGTACCTTCCATCTCTGAGATGCCACTGTAGGACTTGGGATGCCAGAGCTAGTCTAGCAGGTTATTACCCTTAGACTCCTTTTCCATCTCCAGTTCAGGTTGGCCTAGTGATAATAGCTATTATTATAACTAATATTTACAAAGCACTAACTGAATTAGGTAACAATTAATTCATTTAATCCTCATAACTCTATGATAGGGGTACATCATTATCCCCATCATAAACCAGTGACATTGAGGCTAAGAGAGATAACATAATTTGCCTAAGGTCCCACAAGTAGTGTGTGACTGAGCTGAGATTCGAAGCCCTCCAGCCCCTTTCCACAGCCTGAGCTCAGGTTCCTTCCCTTCTGCTCTAGTAATGGAGGAGAAGAGCAAGAAAAGAAAAGAGCAACCCAGTCATTTGCCACTTGGAGAAAACTAGCTCAGGGCTCCTATTTTTCTGGAAAACTTTGCCCTGTGCTCCACTCCTTCATCTTTATATTTGAGATTCATGTTTTACCCTCTCCTGAGCTTTTTATAACTCATCTCCAAAAGATGGCAACAGATAATGGTTTTTAAAAAAAGTTTTGGAAAGCTTATTTATCAGTTTTATGTTGAAACCTTTGTCTTTTATCTGCCGGGACTTCTAAAGAGTAGCATGTAAAGTAACATGGAAAACTTAGAGACTGAAAATGAATATGGTGGCAAAGTTTTCAAACTCACCTCTTATTTTTCTTGTAATTCTCCAGTTGCTGGGATTGCATATGTTTGCATCTTTCTAATTCACACTGCCCACATAAGTCTTCCAGATGCAGCAGGTTGTTCTCTACCTCCTCAAAACTCGCCTCTAAATGAGCTGAAAGTATATAAAAATAAACAAACTTCGAAAGTCAGAATCCTTGATCATGATGAATACAAAAAGTATCAAAAAGGTAAAAGTTTACATTGTTGAGATTGTTTTGCATTTTTAAGTACTTTTTATTAAACTTTCTTGACGCAAAAGAAAACATACTGGCCAACATTAAAACATAATTCAAATTATCTTTTTTGACATTTCAAGCATTATCAAGAAATAACTTTCCTAAATACTTATTAACCACGAAGACAAAGACATGGAGAAACATTATCTTGATTAATGTAATGCTCTATCCTAATGATCCCATATACCACATGTGAATAACCAATTTTCACATAATAAGAATATGACAAAATATAATTAACATATATTATACCTAACCTAACCTAATTATACCTATACTTAACTAACTTAATATCTGTGTTTCTAAATTACGTTAGCATTTGTTTTGCCTCCAGCACATCACATACACAAATCTTCAAGGCACAGTAGATATGCACAAATACCTGGTAAGCATGGGTTACCAGGCTACTCAGTGGTTGGGTGAGGAAGTGACTTCGCTCTGCCTGTCAGGTGACTAGTCTTTCACCACTCCACTCTGCTGCTAGGCCACAGAGCCTTGCAGCTTTATTGGAACATGAAGATCACCCACTCAAACCTTTCACTGAAAAGATTCAAGACTAAAGCTTAGAAAAACAAATACAGTGCCTTGCCCAAGCAAGCTAGTGAAGGGCCACACGGCCAGTGAAGGGCAGTCAGGAATCCAAACTGAATCCCTCTCATATTACACTGATTTCCAGTTGATAGGATGCTAAGTACACTGAGATTGTAGGGGCAAGGATTAGTTGTTTTCTCATATGAAAGAAAAGCTTTTGAGGTCAAACATTTGAGAACTCAGAGCCTCATAACTAGTTATCTATTATTCACTGATATATATATATGGCAGCCACTGGGATACAAAGATGAAAAAGACAGTCCTGCAGCTCAAGGAGCTTACAGGAGAGGGGAGACATATTTCAATAGCAACAGAGCATGACAGAGTGAGGTGCCGTAGGAACTCAAAGGAGTGGCATCTAACACAGATGAGGGAAAGCTCAGCAAGAAACGATTCCCAAGCCAGGAAGTAACAGTGATCCAGCAGGGAAGGGAGGAACAAGTTGGCTCTGCGGCCTTCCAGTCTTGGGTTCATTTAAACGGCTACAATATAATTCCTTCATTTACGTACTAGCTTTTCATATGACTTTCTAAACCAGCTTTCATAGCATTTAGGTTTGAGACAAACTCCTCAAATTTCAACTGACACTTACAGGTTTACTGTGATGCAAATGTTTGCCTGTTTTTGGAAGTCCTAGAGAGAGCAATTAGGCACAAGAAAGAAATAAAGATATCCAAATAGGAAAGGAGGAAGTTGAAATGCCCGTTTGCAGATGACATGATCTTATGTAGAGAAAACTCTAAAAGTGCCAGCAAAAAAACTTTTAGAACTTGATAAATAAATTCAGTAAAGTTGCAGGATACAAAATCAACATACAAAAATCAGTAGCATTTCTATACACCAACGATGAAATTGCAGGGGGCAAGAAATCAAGAAAGCGGTCCCATTTACAATAGTTACAAAAAATTACAATACTTAAGAATAAATTTAACCAAGGGAAGGAAAGAGCCAGGTGCGGTGGCTCACACCTGTAATCTCAGCACTTTGGGAGGCTGAGGCAGGAGGATCCCTTGAGCCTAAGAGTTTGAGACCAAGGGGATGAAAGATCTCTACATGACAAACTATAAAACACTTATGAAAGAAGTCGAAGAAGACACAAAAATGAAAAGACATCCCCATGTTCAAGCATTAGAAGAATATTGTGAAAATGATCATACTGCCAAAAGTGATCTACAGATTAAATGCAATCCCTATCAAAACACCAATGACATTCCTCACAGAAATAGGAAAAAAAAAAAAATTCTAAAACTCATATGGAATCACACAAGACCCTGAATAGCCAGAGTAATCCTGAGCAAAAATAACAAAGCTGGAAGCATCAGATTGTCTGACTTCAAAATATACTACAAAAAGCTATAGTAACCAAAACAGCATGATGCTAGCATAAAAACAGACATGCTAGAACAGAACAGAGAACCCAGAAAACCCAAAAATAAATCCACATATTTATAGCCAATCAGTTTTTGACAAAGGCACAAAGAACATTCATTGGGAAATACATGGTCTCATCAATAAACGATGCTGGGTTAAGTGAATATCCATATGCAGAAGAATGAAACTAGACCCCTAACTTTCACCCTAGAAAAAAATCACCTCATAATGGATTAAAGACTTAAATGTAAGAGCTGAAACCATGAAACTACTAGAAGAAAACATACGGGAAACATTTCAGAACATTGGTTTGGATAAAGACTTTATGGAGAAGACTTCAAAGACACAAGTGACAAAAGCAAAAATAGACAAACTAGATTACATCAAACTAAAAAGCTTCTGCCTGGAAAAAAAAAAAAAAATCAAGACTGAAAAGACAACCAGCAAAACGGGAGAAAATACCTGCAAACGACTCATCCCACAAGGGATTAATATCCTTTCCTTTGAATATATCCCTAGTATAGGACTGCTGGCCATATGGAGTTCTATTTTCCTTTTGTTTTGTTTCAGAGGAACCTCCATACTGTTTTTCATAAGGGCCCTACTAATTAAAATTCCCAAGAAATTCTTATACAAGGAACCCAAACAATTCAACAGCAAAAAATAAAAATTAAAAAAAAATCCTATTAAAAAACGGGCAAATGAACCGAATAGACATCTCTCAAAAGAAGGTACATGAATGGCCAACGGATATATGGAAAAATCTTCAACATCACTAATTATAAGGGAAATACAAATCAAAACCACAATGAGATAACATCTCACCCTAGTTAGAATAGCTATTGCCAGATGGAAATAACAGGCGCTAGGGACTCCAAAAAGGGGGAAGGGTGGGAAGGGACAAAGACTGAAAAACTACCTATTGGGTACGATGTTCACTATTTGGGTATTGGGTACACTACAAGCCCAATCTCTTCCAATATGCAATACAGCCAAACAACAAACAAGCACTTGTACCCCCTTACCCCCAAAAGTAATAATAAAAAAAATAGCTATTACCGAAAAGACCAAAAACAACAAATTCTGGCAAGGATGCAGAGAAAGGGGAGTTCTCATACGCTGTTGGTGGAAATTTAAATTAGTATAGCCATTATGGAAAACAGTATGGAAGTTCCTTAAAAAATCAAAAGTAGAACTACCATATGACCAGCAGTCCCACTACTATGGGGAATACAGCCCAGGGAAAGGAAATCAGTATCTGGAAGCGTTATCTGCACTCCCATGTTCATTGCAGCTCTATACACAATAGCCAAGACATGAATTCAACCTAAGCATCCATCAATAGATGAATGGATAAAGAAAATGTGTTACATATAAATGATGGAATACTATTCAGCTGTAAAAAAAGATTTAAGTACCATCATTTGCAGCAACACGGATGAGCCTCGAGGAAGGTATGTTAAGTGAAATAACCCAGGCACAGAAAGATAAATACTGTATGTTTTCACCCATATGTGGAAGCTAAACACATTGATCCCAGGGAAGTAGAGGGTAGAATAGTGCTTACTAGATGCTGCTGGGGAGATGGGCAGTAGCCAAAGTTAACAGATACAAAATTACAGCTAGATAGGAAGAATAAGTTCTAGTATTCTATAGCACTGTATGGACAGTATAACAATTTACTGTATATGTTCAAATAGCAAAAGTGGGGATTTTGAATGTCCCCAACACAAAAAAATGGTGTTTGAGATGGATGTGCTGATCACCTTGATTTATTACACACTGTGTACATGTATCAAAAAATCACACTGTGCCCTATAAATATACACAATTGTGTGTCAATTAAAAATAATAATAAAAGCAAAAAATACACAAAAACTTTAAAATTTTTAAAAGAAAAGACAAGGCAGAAACTGGGAGAAAATCTTTGTAGAACATACCTGATAAAGGACTGATATCCAAAATATTACAAAGTACTCAATTTGCAACTGAGGGACAGTCTACAAAATATCTGATCACCATGTCTCAAAAAATTGTCATGGTCATCAAAAACAAAAACGTTTGAGAAACTGTCAGAGCCAGAAGGAGCCTAAGAAGACAAGATGACTAAATTTAATGTGGTCTCCTGAATGGGATCTTGGAACTGAAAAGAATTATTAAGTTAAAAAAATTTTCTTAAAGTATGAATTTTTATTAATGAAGATTTTATTTTTAATCTTTGTTTGATCCAAACAGCTGTTAGATAATCCAGAAGTGTTGACATTTTGTCTTTTTATCCTCCTCTCAAGTATTTATCCTTTGAGTTACAAATAATCCAATTACATTTTTTATTTTAAAATATACAGTTAAGTTATTATTGGCAATAGTCACCCTACTGTGCTATCAAATAGTAGGTCTTATTCTTTTTTTTTTTTTTTTTGACACTTTCTAATATCCTGAATTTTAACTCTACGAAATATTTGTGCTTATAAAAACTCCCTCTCCCCTCTGCTAGGGTATAAGGCTTAAAAACATGAATATGGTGGGGGGGAATAAATTTTATTTAAAAGTGAAAATATGGTGACAAGCAGTTTAGCAGTTTTCTTCAGACATTTTAGGTACTGACTTTTATCATACTGATATATCACTGTAAACCACTGGTAAATCTGGAAACGGCTAATAATAATGTAGTTCAGGGTGGTTTTGAACCTAGCTTCAGGGACCACATCAAACAGCTACTATATGTGATTATGGAATGCTTAAATGAAACAATTTGTAAAATCTAAATTTTAGCCAATAACTATACTTAAGATTTTTAAGAATGTCACAAATGGTACATAAACAGTTTATATGGGGGAGTCAGGCAAAACGATGTACTGCCATTTACATATATATTTTTTTTTGTAGAGACGAGGCCTCGCTATGACCTGGCTGG